TGAATAAATATACCTGCCACAAAGTAGCAGGTGTCTTTTGCACATGATGCAATTATTACTAATTCTAAAAGGATATTTGCAAAAGATTTTGAGCACTGGTTGGTTAAAATATATCTAAAATTTTCTTAGGCTTTGGAGCAACTGGGGAGAAAATTTGTTTAGAATTTAATGTCCTGGCTCGGCGCCTGTGGCTCAAGTGGCTAAGGCACCAGCCACATACACCTAAGGTGGCAGGTTTGAATCCAGCCCGGGCCCGTCAAACAACAATAATGGCTGCAACCAAAAAATAGCCGGGCGTTGTGGTGGGTGCCTGTGGTCCCAGCTACTTGGGAGGCTGAGGCAGGAGACTCGCTTGAGCCCAGGAGTTGGAGATAGCTGTGAGCAGTGAAGCCATGGCACTCTACCCAGGTGGACAGCTTGAGGCTCTATCTCAAAAAAAAAAAAAAAGAATTTAATGCCCTTCAAACAACATATAAGAAAAGTATTAATATAGTAGAACTATTTGTAAAAGCAAATATGGAAAGTTCAAACAATTACCCAGGTTCAGAAGTAATTTTCTTTTTCTTTTTAAATTTCAGATTAATATGAGGGTAAAAGTGTTTAAGTTACGTTGTTTTTATTTCTAAGGTAAAGTTCAAGTTGAGCCCTAAAAGATAATTTTCAAGTCCTAGCTTCTCAGGAGACTGAGGGAGGAGGATTGCTTGAGCCAAGGAATTGAAGGCTGCAATGAGCTATTATTGCATCACATTCCAGCCTGAGAAACAGAGTGAGACCCTGCCTCTAATTAATAAATAAAAAATGGATAATTTTCAAAAAAGTCAAAATCATGACTTTTATACAAATACAAAAATGATCTCATCTTTAAGATTTTAACTTACTAATGATAAAACTAGCAAGATGTTTACCAGTAGCTCAAAGAAGAATCTGAACAGCAGATATAATTAGAGCCAGGAAGACAGAGTGTACATAAGAGAAGAAACTCACCTTTTCTCCCTGGCCAGAGAAGGAAACCGAACCTCTGTGGGACAGAATTTGCATGTCTATACCCAAGAATGACAGTATTACTGTTAGTCATCTACAACTCAGAGTTATAAAACAGCTCCCTAGAATTAGACAGTCCAAAATGTGCTAGAGAAGATGATACATGGTTTTCCACAGAAACACAAATTTTTCCCTACCTGGGCCACTGACTATACTGTTTGCTGCTATACTGTCCAAACCTGGGACTTGGTAGATGGTCCATATAAGTTTACTAAGTAGATGAATGAAAGTCTACTATATGCCAGGCATTAAGCTGGGTCCTAAACATGGATCATCCCATTTAATCTTTCCAACAACCCTTTAAGATAAATATTATCCTGATTTTACTGAGAAGAAAGTAATTTGAGGCTCAGCTCCCATAGCTCAGTGTTTAGGGTGCCAGCCACATACACCACAGCTGGCAGGTTCAAAGCTGGGGCCTGCCAAACAACGATGACAACTACAACCAAAAAATAGCTGGGTGATGTGGCAGGCGCCTGTAGTCCTAGCTACTTGGGAGGCTGAGGCAAGAGAACTGCTTAAGCCCAAGAGTTTGAGGTTGCTGTGACCTGTGATGCCACAGCACTCTGAGGGAAACACAGTGAGACTGTCTCAAAAAAAAAAACAAAAAAACAAAAAAACAAAAAAACCCCACTAACTTGTGTGACACTATGTTGCAATTACATGTCAAAGGTTGAGGTGAAGGACAGTAGTGAGGATTTGACTCAGACCTAGGATCTGAAAACCTCTCTCTCTTTTCTTCTTTCTATTTAATATATTTTCTTTTTATTTACAATCAGTGGATCATCTGTCTCTCACATATTATTGATACAACATACTACATTAATGGACATGCATTGGAAATCCCTTAAGAAAAAAACAAAATAGCAGCAGTCCAGAGAATCTAAATAAAAATGAGACAGGTGAACTTATTTTTGCAGCCTTGAAGATTAGCACAGGATATTTGTCAGCCCTGACTGATTTGTTTTCTTTAGGTTCTCCTTTCCCAGTTTTCAGGGTAATAAAGCTTGAATTCAACGTGGTGTATGTGTATTGTTTTTGTCATCACAGACATTAGGGCAGCACTTAGGAAAATAGCAGGAGTTCACATTCATCTTAGGCTTACAGTGACTACAAACGGCCTTCACAGCTGCACAGTGAGGTAGGTACTGTTACAGGTGAGGAAAGCTAAGGTTCACCTAGCAAGCTCCCCCGAATCACCCGCTGTTTTGCAGCTATGGGTTCCTGGTTCTCCTAGCCACTCCTCCACCCTCTCCTAGTCCCTCTGGGCCTGCCCAGCCTCTGAAGGTTTGCTTTGCCATCAGATCTTAATTTTTTTTTATAAACCTCTCTGCCTAATTCATCACAGCTCCCAAGGGCACTAAGATTCGCATAGCTTCCAACGTCACAAGGCCGGTAATCGTAGGCTGGAGTAAGTCCTGAAAGCTATTTTCCGGCCACTTGGCACGTGTGATCATTTCAGTGGTTTACAATCCCCCTCAGAGACAAGGGGCCTGAGGACAGGGGAAGGCAGTGGTCTTCTGAGGCTTCAGACAGGTGAACGTCAAAAAGATGTGGATCAGATGTTAATCTGAAATCATTCTCTCTGCTCCCTAAGTCCCCTAATAATTCCCTGCTTTCTTTTCTTGCCAGAAAACTGCTCTGAGAATGCAATGACACTGTTTTTTGACACATCCAGGTAAGTCTTAACGTAAATACCGGCACAAGACTGGAGTACAGAGGTTGTCGGTCAGTTGTTAACACGTAAGGGTTTTCTATATCATTTCATTTAATCTTCACAGTACCTCTTGGAGACAGCTATTATTATCTTTATTTTGGAGAGGAGGAAATGAGGTTAAATAATTGGCTCACACTGAACATCAGGCCCCAAATCCCAAGAAGCCTGTGACAGAGGTGCTTCATGGAGACCCAGCACGCCACCAAAAGCATATGACTCATGTTTGAAACATGTATCTCCTTCCCATGTCCCTGTCCTTGTGTCACTTAGAAAACCTGGGGATGTAGTACCACTTACTCCATAAGCATCGGAGCATGAATCTTTATCTCTGAGGAGTGTAATGCTCATCCTCTTCAAACCATTATAAATGCTTATCCTTCCCTCAAGGGTACCTCATAATTCTCACCCCTAATAAAAGGTAACACTGCTTTCAAATAAGATCGTGAAAAAGGCTTCACCATTACTATAACGTGGACATTAAGAAGCATTAAGTGGCCATTATCTGATGAAGGCTACCATAATCAGGGAAGCGGTTACTAACTGATTGATTACTGCTAGAGGGGGAATAACTGACCCTACATGAGCTTTTCTTCTACTCTTAAGGGAGGCACTGAAAAAAATCAAATCTAGGCACTTGGAATCTAAGCTAAGTGCCCACACTACCTTCGGAATTTTAGGAATTTCATCCAAAAGGGCCATTAGCTCTATTGGGCAGGGTTGGGGAAGTACCCAGCAGACCATTTTTTATACTTAAGGTAGCAGGATTTCACTCTGGTCAGTCAATTCTGCTCCAGCTACAATTAAGTATGCTCTTGATAAACGTAGACATTACAACTTGGTGAGCAGGAATTTATGATCATATAGCTTGGCATTTTTAAAAATATTTAGCCCTAGAACCCTTTAGCGTTAAAACCAAACCAAATTTTCTATATGATTTGACAATATAGAGCAGACATATAAGGAGCAAGGCACACCCATGTCCCTTTGGCAGCCAAAGGCGCTACAGAACATGCTGTGGAAACCACCAAGTCATGCTCTAGGGAGGTTACGGAGATACGACCCAGATCTCATAGCTACAGGGAGAGAACTAAACTGCAGAAAGAAATCGTTGCTGTTTAACCGCTCTCTTTGCAGAGTTAAGCAGTGAACAGAATGAGGGAGGTTAGGGTTTCTCAAGACAGAAGTAGAGGTTTAGAAAGAGACTCGGCATCCGGAGTGTTGAGCTCTTTCATTGCAAGGCATTTTCCCACCAGTGTCAGTAACCCTCAGAAAAAAGGAAGGATGTGGACCAGAACAAGGACTGCTCAACACTATTGCCCCCTGCAGCCACATAAGTGTTGATGTGGACTGTGGCTTCACTCCTCCTTTTATGGCACTCTTCGGAGTATCTGCATACAGCCATCTGCAGGGGGAAGGGCAGGCCAGCTCTGCACAGATCCTGCTTACTCTGATGGGCTGCCATGAAGGCTCCATCTTGCCTACTCCATTTCCCCTGTCCGAAACAAGTGATCTGAAAGCCCTTCATGGTTCAATATACTGTCCTATTTCTGCTTCCAAATACTTCCTGACCTCCATCTGTAGTACTCAGATACCCTTGATCTCAATGGAGTCTTAATTTGCACCTTGCAAGTATTCATCCCAAGGGCGGTGAGTTGGTATCCTGACATTTCACTTCACCATGTCCGGATGCAACACAAGCAGGTGGTCACTGGGAACTGAATGGGACCCACCCACCGCGCTGCAAGGCAGGGAAAGTGACTATCCACCATGACTTTTTCACATCATCAGATATATGTGTGTAGCTTACCACATTAGAAAAGTCACTGAACTTTATCTTAAAAAAAAAAAAAGCCCAGCATATATTCCCTTTTAGAAACCTTCCCTACTTAAAGGATCTACATACTGATCCTGTAATCATACATTATATTTGAATAACACCCTTCTTTTCTCTAGGATTTGTGTGCCGGTGTAATCTTACTTTCTCTAGGGTCCCTCAACCCTTCATCTTGCTTCCCACACACATTTACACTAAACACTGAAAATCCACAGTTTTCTACAATAACCGCATATGCTTGTTGAGTAGCATGGCTCACATGGATCTGGAATCCATCACTTCTTTTAAAGTAAACCCCTGCCAGAAAATTTCAGCAGCAAGATGCCTTTTCATTGCAAGGGTGTGGGAAAGGCCATCATGACAGGGAGGGTGGACGGGAGGGAAATATCTTGATGCCGCATACTTTACCAGTTATGTCATGCTGCTTGAATGACTCGCTGTAGATCTGATACTGATTTGGACAATGCTTCTTCAACCACTTGCAGACATCCTGCTGGGTCCATAGAGCCACTGGTTTAGACAGCTTCACCACAGCTGACTGTAAATAAAGAAGGAACAGAAGATCTGTGCGTGCTGGCCTCATGCCTAGGAGGGCGCTACTGTCATTATAAGACTTAGAGTGCGGTAAAGGCTATGAGCTGGATGCCCTAAAGATCGGGCTCTTGTCCTCCTCTTAACCCCTGCAGACCTGCTCAATATTGCTCAAAACCACAAAGAAAGGTCTCAGAGGAGACGCCATGAAAATGATCTCAACTTAATCATCTTTACTGGGAAAAATCTCCAGAAATCCTTAAGCAGCAGAGTTTTCCACTAAATAACAAGAAGACAAAGGGGTTGCTAAGCAATTGATTAAATTTTTAGGGGGGAATAGCTACCCCCAACTGCCTTTCTCTGTACTCTGAGAAGTTGTCTGTCTCCCGTTGTCCCTGACATCTCCAGGGCCTAGTGTAACATTGGCTCCAGCAGGTGCTAATAATTATTTTAGAAATGAGTGTTATAGAACTTGGATACCTACATAATAAGAAGTACAAGTCCACCTGGGGCTCTGGACTTCGGGTGGTCCGGTAAAGCCTAGGAACATTAGTTACGTCACAGTGGGGAAGCAGAGTCAATTCCACCAGCATGCGGGGAATGGCAATGCGATAATGTGGGTACTTAGGCTTTATATACCTAGAAGACAACTAGTCAAAGCCTTTTATTGCTCATTGGCTATTTCGGGGAAGTATTTATGAGGGAAAAAGACTCCAAAAAACAAGTGCAAAAACCCTACCTTTTGATCGAGAGATTACAAATACATGTATCAGTTAATAAGTATCAACTCTGTGCCAGATGCTGGTCACCTTCATGAATCCCAGAGACTTGGTTTAGGCGAGATTAAAGCATCACTGTTAACATTTTTTATCATCCTGGATCAGTGTTTGCCAAAGCAGCAGGGCTATAACAAGCGTTTAGCTCAGGGATTCTCAAACTTTTTAAACAGGGGCCCAGTTCACTGTCCCTCAGACTGTTGGCTAGCTGGACTGTGGGCAGTGGGACAAGCTGGCTGCTAAGCAGGACAAGCAGCAGCGGCAAAAGCACCTGGTGGGCTGAATAAATGTCCTAGGTGGGCCACATGTGGCCCACAGGCTGTAGTTTGAGGATGCCTGGTCTAGCTTCTTAAAGGGTCTTGGGGGGTACAAAGACCTGACCTTAAGGATCACTGCCCTTCTCAGTAGACGTCATTTTTTTTCACTTCTCTACCCATATTTCAGATTAAGACAGCGGGAGATCCTTAATTTGGTAGGAGTGTGATTTCACATCTTTCTAACATCCGCTAACATGTTCTCTTGACAGAGAGGGCTTGCGTGAGTCTTAAAGACACTTCAGCAGAAAACAGTGTATCCCTAATAACTGGTCTGTGTTACTTTTATTATATTTAAGGCTACCTTTAAGTTATGGCAAACATAAATTTTATTTTCTAGAGTAATATATTCTAGTTTGCTTTTAAAAAAGATTTCATTTTTTTCCTGAAAAAAAAAAATATCCCAACCACTTAATAGGCCAACTTAAAGAAAAAAATTAAGGTAACAATGGTACAGATGATAACAGTAAAAATAGTGGACGTAATATGAAAGTGATTCAAGTTTGGAAAGCGTATGCTCAGGTGTGATTTTTTTACTAGTATATTTCCACTCTTGAATCCCTGGGCCATCAATGATAAAATAACCACAAATAATGTTTATTATGACTTATGTTGTACATGTATTCACACACGCATACATAGGTAGGTACATTCAGACCTGCTTTTCATTCCAAGTGCCCAAGATTTCTTCCATAGGTATTTAGGGCTGATGTTCCCTATCTTTGAATTTAGACAGGGTATGTGACCATCCTGAGTAACAGAGTCAGTGAAACGATGCTATGCAACCTCTGAGGCTGGGTCATAAAAAAGACACAGCTCCTGCCCGGCTCCTGCTCTTTGATGCTCACCTTTGGAATTTAGCCCTGTTATCATGTGAAGAAGCCCGGGTCACATGATGAGGTCGTGGAGACCACGGAGGGCTTTTAGCCAACCCCCTAGCTAACGTGTCAGCTGACAGTCACCACTGACCACCAGACAAATGAGTAAACAAGCTTCAGACAATTTCTGTGTCCAGCCTTCACATCTTCCATCTGAGGCCCCCAGACACCATAATAAACAGACAAGCCATCCTTCCTTGTGTCCTGAGTTCCTGATCCATGTCATATGTGAGCATCATACTTGTCTTACGCCACTAAGTTCTGGGGCAGTTTGTTCTACAACCCTAGTAACTGGTGCGGTCAGGGAGAGTGGGAGGATGAGAGCTGTCACAACTGTGCTCCTTAGCATGTACTGTTTTCAACAGGTGCTCTGTACAACCACCATGGATACAGGAAGGAAGGAATGATGGGAAACCATTTCCCTGAGTCAGCATTCATGCACACACTTTACTGTTGGATCAGCAGTGATTTTCAACCTCAGCCCTTGCTACACTACCCCACTGTGTGTTGGGCTTACGTAGCTCCTGACCAACATCTGCTTCCACCTGCCATCCTTCCTTCCAGAGTCCCAGGCTGCCAGCCATTTTCCTTCTAACTTCTGGGTGAAACCACATTGATTCTTTTCCCTAATTTTGAAGACAGAGGAGGACCTCAGCATGGAGAGTTTAATTTTTTTCTGCTAGTGGTAATGTTTAGTTTTTATTTATTTATTTTTTATTTCAGACTTCTTTATTCCATGAATATTTACAAAACATCAACTATAGGCAAAACATTGACATAATCACTGAAGATAACATTGGGACAAATATATCAATTTTATGAGGAAACAAAAGCAATATCTACAAATCAATTATGAGATAAGTGTACTCATTACCACCTCTCCTCTCTTGAAAATTCTAGCTAGTACAATTATGATAACTTAAAAATCCCAATGGTTTGTAAAAAAAATACAAATTTCATTACTTCCGAGTTACCAAGTTACTTGCAAGTTACCAAAAACAATAGAAAAATTCAGCAATGTGGCTAACTTCAAAATAACTACACAAAATCATAACCAGAATCCACAGAGAACTCAAGCGTAGTAGCAAGAAGAGAACAAGTGATTCCATCGCAGGGTGGGCAAGAGACTTAAATAGAAACTTCTCTGAAGAAGACAGACGCATGGCCTACAGATATATGAAAAAATGCTCACCATCCTTAATCATCAGAGAAATGCAAATCAAAACCACTCTGAGATATCATCTAATGCCAGTTAGATTAGCCCATATCACAAAATCCCAAAATCACAGATGCTGGCGGGGTTGCGGAGAAAAGGGAACACTACTACATTGCTGGTGGGAATGCAAACTAATACATCCCTTTTGGAAAACCATATGGAGAACACTCAGAGATCTAAATACTGATCTACCATTTGATCCTGTAATTCCTCTGTTAGGTATATACCAAGAAGACCATAATTCACGCTATAATACAGATATCTGTACCAGAATGTTCATTGCAGTCCAATTCACAATCGCTAGGTCATGGAAGAAGCCCAAGTGCCCATCAACCCATGAATGGATCAATAAATTGCGGTATATGTACACCATGGAACACTATACAGCCACAAAGAAAGATGGAGACCTTGCCTCCTTCATGTTTACATGGATGGAGCTGGAAAATGTCCTCCTTAGCAAAGTATCTCAAGAATGGAAGAAAAAGTATCCAATGTACTCAACACTATTATGAAACTAATAGTTAGCTATCTTAGGAAAGCTACAATCCAAATGGAGCCCTAGACTACGGGGAAAGGGGAGGGGGAGGGGAGGGGGAGGATGGGGGAAGAGAATGATATTGTGGGGATCATGCCTATAATTTATCCTATTTGGGTACAGGTGAATTTGTCTAAAGGTTGAATATAAATGTCTTAACACAACAATTATGAGAAAGACATGATGGCTATGTTAGGCACTTGGAGGAGTTTTCCAAACTGCATATAGAAGTAACACACTGTATCCTATGAGAGAATTAATGTACACAATTATGATCTAATAAAAAACAAATTAAAAAGAAGAATAGTAGAGGAAATCTTTTCACATGTAACAAACAGGATGTACATTGATGAAAATGTAAAAAGTAACAGTAAGTTTGTGAATTATTTACAAAACAACATGCACAGTGTGCTGTTAAAAAGACAGTATTAAAAAAAAAACAAAATCAATTATATTCCTATATAGAAAAGAATTACAGAATATTAGATAAAGAAACATAGCATTATATCAGCAACCAAAATAGAAAGTACCTAGCAATATAGCTTTAACAAGAGCTGTACAAATTATTTTTTTTTTTGAGACAGTCTTACTATGTCATCCTGGGTAGAGTGCCATGGAATCACAGCTCACAGCAACCCCAAATTCTTGGACTTAAGCAATTCTCTTGCCTCAGCCTCCCAAGTAGCTGGGATTACAGGTGCCTGCCACAATGCCCTGCTATTTTTTTGTTTGCAGTTGTTATTGTTTGGCAGGTCCAGGCTGTGTTCAAACCTGCCAGCCCCAGTGTATGTGGCCGGTGCCCTAACCACTGAGATGTGGGCACCAAGCCTAGTTTTTTTTTTTTTTTTTTTTATTGTCCATCATCATTTCCTTTCCTTTGCATGATTAGGAAACTAGAATTTTAGTCTTCTAGCTAGAAATGCATTTACCACCATGTTTCACAAGTCAGCACCTCTGCATCTGGTTCTTTCCTGCTCTAAAATTTTTCCTTTAGATTAGCTGAATGAGTTTATAGCTGACAAATCACTACTCTGAAACTCTTGCAAGTTTCTTGCAAGTAAAGCTAATCACATCATTGGAAATCCCTATAAACCAGTCACGGAAGGCTGTAAATTAGGAAGGGCAAGGCTGAAGGATGAAGTTGCTTGTACATCAATATACTAAATTTCTTTCTAAAAGGTTATTCTTTAACCTGTGTACTTTCTAGGAAACAGACTCTCAGCATCAATTGGACTTCAGGCAGATATTTTCTCCAACATGCCAAGATCAACTCAGAACATATCTTCAC